TTCCCGGATTTTATCCCAAATTTTGTTTTTTTCCATCCCGAATTTTCCCAAAATTCCCGGATTTTATCCCAAATTTCCCTACCTGGGCTGCAGTGGTGGGAGACGGGGCAGGAGCTGTTGGAATCCAACATTTCCACGCAACATTCGGGATCTGAGAGCTGCCGGGAAAACGGAAAAATTTGGGAATTCTGAGAGAATTTGGAGCGGCAAATCCCAAATTTTACGGGAATTCGGAGTTTGGAGAGGCAAATCCCAAATTTTTGGAACAGGAAATTCCAAATTTTGGGGAATTTTTGGAGTTCGGAGGAGGAAATCCCAAGTTTTTTGGGAATTCTGAGCTTGGAGCAGAAAATCCCAAATTTTGGAGCGGCAAATCCCAAGTTTTTGGGGATGTTTTGGTGCTTGGAGCAGCGATTCCCGAATTTTTGGGGAATTTTTGGAGTTTGGATTGGCAAATCCCAAATTTTTGGAGTTCGGAGCAGTGAATCCCAAATTTTTGGGGAATTCGGAGTTTGGAGCGGAAAATCCTGAATTTTTGGAACAGGAAATCCCAAATTTTTGAGGGGTTTTTGGAATTCAGAGCAGGAAATTCCGAATTTTTGGGGAAGTTTTGAAGCAGCAAATCCCAAATTTTTGGATTTCAGAGCAGGTAATCCCGAATTTTCAGGGATTTTTGGAATTCAGAGCAGGAAATCCCAAATTTTTTTGGGAATTTTTGGAATTCCTGCCGCACCCACCGAGTTTTCCGGGGATTTTCCGGCCACTCCGGCCACGAGCCGGGTCAGGAGCAGCACCAGAGGCACCTCCATTCCCGGGAAAAACCTGGAAAAAATGGGAAAAAAAACAAATTATCCATTCATGAATTAATTGGGAATGATTTATTTTTGGGAATGAGCTTAAAAAAAAAAAAAATCAAATAATTCCCTGAGGGGAAACGATCAAAATAATTCCAAATAAACTTTCCATGGATCTGTCAATACCTGGGGAGGGTGGGGAACATCGATCAGGAAAAGTTATTTATTGCCAAATGGAATTAAATTAATTAATTAATAATTAAATTAAATATATAAATGAATGAAATGAGGGGAAGGGAGGTGAAATTGGGGTGGAAAATTCCCTTTTCAGGGTTTGATTTCCATCCAGAGATCGCTCAGGGGCTGCATCGACCCCTCGGGGTAATGAAATCATTTTAATTTTCATCAGGAGAGGAAAAATCGAAATATTTGATGGGTTTGGAGCTGCTGGGGTTTATTGATCCCCTGGAAAGGGATGATGAGAGGAGGCAGCCTCTTATTTATTATTTAAATAATAAATATTTATTATTATTAGTATTGTTGTTTGTATTTATTTTAATATAAATTTATTTACATATTCATTATATTGTCATTCATTCTATTATTATTCATTCTAATACTCATCTATTATTATTCATTCATTATTATTCATTCTATTATTATTATTTCTATTATTATTTAATTATTATTTAATAATTATTAATATTTATTGTATTATTATTTAATTAATAATAAATTTAAAGAATAAATGTAGACATAAGTTTAAATAATACACTTAAAGAATAAATTTAAAGAATAAATTTTAAAATAAATCCAAATAATAAATTTAAAGAAAACAGAAGGGATGCAAAAGCTGAAATGATGAGAGAAGGAAAGGGCTGCAGAAGGTGAAAATATTGAACTGAGAGAAGGAAAAAGCTGCAAAAAAAGAAAATATTAAAGAAGGGAAGGGCTGTAAAATTATAAAACTGAGAGCAGGAGCAGAGGGTGCAAAAGGTGAAATGATCAGAGAAGGAAAAGGGTGCAAGAGTTGAAATGATTCAATGTAAAAAATTGAAATTATTGAAGTGAGAGCAAACGGAAAGGGGTGCAGAAGGTGAAATGATCAAAGTGAGAAGGAAAGGGGTGTAGAAAGTGAAATTATTAAACTGAGAGCAGAAGGAAAGGGATGCAAGAATTGAAATGATAAAATTGACAGAAGGGAAGGGCTGCAAAATTACAAAACTGAGAGCAAAAGGAAAGGGATGCAAAAGTTGATCAAACTGAGAAGGAAAAGGATGCAAAAGTTGAAATGATCGAACTGAGAAGGGAAAGAGCTGCAGAAGTTGAAATGGTAAAAGTCTCGCTCAGATTAAATGATTGGAGTGAGAGAAGGAAACGGGTGCAGAAGGTGAAATGATTGAATTGAGAGCAGAAGGAAAAGGCTGTAAAAGGTGAAATGGTAAAAGTGAGAGATGAAATGACTGAACTGAGAGAAGGAAAGGGCTGCAAAATTTGAAATGATTGAAGTGAGAGCAGGAAAGGGCAGGAGAAGCAGAAATTATCAAATTGAGAGCAGGAAAGGGGTGCAGAAGGTGAAGTTATTGAAGTGAGAGAAGGAAAGGGATGCAAGAATTGAAATGATAAAATTGAGAGAAGGGAAGGGCTGCAAAATTTGAAATGATTGAGGTGAGAGAAGGAAAGGGCTGCAGAAGGTGGAATGGTCAAACTGAGATCAGGAAAAGGGTGCAGAAGGGGAAATAACTGAACTGAGAGCAAAAGGAAACGGGTGCAGAAGGTGGAATGATCGAACCGAGAGCAGAAGGAAAGGGCAGCAGAAGCAGAAATGACCGAACCGAGCAGGGGAAGGGCTGTAAAAGGTGAAATGGTAAAAGTGAGAGATGAAATGATTGAGGTGAGAGAAGGAAAGGGCTGCAGAAGGTGGAATGGTCAAACTGAGATCAGGAAAAGGGTGCAGCAGGTGAAATGATTGAACTGAGAGCAGAAGGAAAGGGCAGCAGAAGCAGAAATGATCAAACTGAGAAGGAAAGGGCTGTAAAAGGTGAAATGGTGAAAGTGGGAGATGAAATGATTGAGGTGAGAGCAGGAAAGGGGTGTAAGAATTGAAATTATTGAACTGAGAAGGCAAAGGGGTGCAGAAGGTGGAATGATCAAACCGAGAGCTGAAGGAAAGGGATGCAAGAATTGAAACGATAAAATTGAGAGAAGGAAAGGGCTGTAAAATTTGAAATGATTGAAGTGAGAGCAGGAAAGGGCTGCAAAATTTGAAATTATGAAACTGAGAGCAGAAGGAAAGGACAGCAGAAGGTGGAATTATTGAACTGAGAGCAGAAGGAAAGGGATGCAAGAATTGAAATGATAAAAGTCAGAGATGAAATGATTGAGGTGAAAGCAGGAAAGGGCTGCAAAATTTGAAACGATCAAACGGAGAGCAGAAGGAAAGGGCAGCAGAAGCAGAAATGACCGAACCGAGCAGGGGAAGGGCTGTAAAAGGTGAAATGGTAAAAGTGAGAGTTGAAATGATTGAGGTGAGAGAAGGAAAGGGCTGCAGAAGGGTGGAATGGTCAAACTGAGATCAGGAAAAGGGTGCAGCAGGTGAAATT